ACTTAGTAACTTTCCTAACATTGTTATAACAAGCGCAGTTTAATTTAGCCAAATCCAACTAAATATATTTTAGACAAGTTTACAGTAATATGAATAATAAACAAACACAATGAAATATTTTTTTTTCGTTAGGGTCAGAATAATTTTTGCGATATTACATCACAAATTTTTGCTTGCGTTATTCGGCAAGAAGAGCGTTGCTGTTTAAGCCAAAATCACAAGTTTTACTTATTCGGCACGATATATATATAATGACATCTCAGGACGTACATCTCAAATTCTTCATTAAGCTTCCCGTTACTTTAATCTCTGTTTAAGTACTTAGATGAAAATATTTTTCTCTGGTAGTGAAAAGTTAGTGAGGAACCATAATAACAATAAAAGGCACAATACCGTGACTGGAACGATACACAAACAACCCGCACATAGAAGAGAGCAGCTTACGACGACGTCCTGCTCCACTTCTGGTTAGTCAGACTTTGTAAATGGTCCAAGTCGGACCGAAACGTCGTCGTAAGCTCCTCTCTTCTATGTGCGGGTTATTTGTGTACAACCTTAATAATCCTAGTGTAGTCGACAACCTTTAATCCCAGTGAGTGAAACGTTGTATAAAGGTTTCTGTAATAAACATAACTATTATTTTAAATACCCCAATGCAAATAAATTGCATTGTTGCATTTTTTTATTATCACGAGTAATATTTTTTCTTTCAGTCTTACAGACATTTCAGTTTTTGCACTGGTCTGCACGCACGCACGCACGCACGCACGCACGATCTAAATTATGTATATTTAACTAAGTATAACCCAATAAAGTCCAGCGATGTGACTTATTATTTTTGGTTGAGTTCCAAGGTTACCTGGAGGTTATTCCGGGGATCAACGCCCCCGCGGCCCGGTCCATGACCAGGCCTCCCGATGGATCAGGGCCTGATCAACTAGGCTGTTACTGCTGGCCGCACGCAGTCCAACGTACGAGCCACAGCCCGGCTGATCCGGCACTGACTTTAAGTATCTGTCCAGCTCTTTCTTGAAGGCAGTCAGGGGTTTATTGGCAATTTCCCTAATGCTTGATGGGAGGCTGTTGAACAGTCTTGGGCCCCGGACACTTATGGTGTTTTTCCTTAGTGTGCCAATGGCGCCCCTACTTTTTATTGGGGGCATTTTGCATCGCCTGCCCAGTCTTTTACTTTCGTAGGGAGTGATTTCAGTGTGCAGATTTGGGACCATTCCTTCAGTGTACATAATTTACCACCAGTATTTGACTGTAGCAATGTATACATTGTCTTCTGAGTGATCATTCTTCCGTCGTGAGTGATCATTCTTCCGTCGTGAGTGATCATTCTCGCGTCGTGGGTGAGCATTCTCGCTTCGTGGGTGAGCATTCTCGTACAGTGAGGGAGTATTCTCGCGCCGTGAGGGAGTATTCTCGCTCCATGAGTGATTATTCTAACGCTGTGAGTGATCATTCTCGTGCCGTGAGTGATCATTCTCCCGTCGTGAGTGATCATTCTTCCGTTATGAGTGATAATTCTCGCGCCACGAGTGTATATCTATACAGATATACCAAGTTTCCTGGTTATACTCAAGCATCTCGTTGCCACATGTATCTGGGTCGTTGTTCCAAGAAAAAGAACACTGCATCAATCTGGGAGCGACAATTATAAGGGTCAAACACGATCTTGCGATCCCTCACTGCCCAGGGCATTTGATCTTATCTAAATCCAGGAAAATCGCAGTGAATTCTCAACCTTTGACACATAAATGTGAGGATAATTTGACCGTGGATGAGCACGTTAGTGCCAGGCACTCCGCTGAGGATGGTAACGGAAGTTGCCTCCACTAACATTACTCTTGTAATCTTCTTGTTCATACTAGAACTTATGATATTGATCTGCGTCCCTGAGTCAACAAAAACATTGACAGGTTCAGCAACGTTGCTTTGAACAGAGCGGAAATTCTGGTCCTGGCGGGAGGATTTCCCTGAGCCCTGCACATGAGAGGGAGGTATTATGTACCGGACGAGAACTGTTTTCACGACCAGCCCGAGATCGAGCGCCGCGACGACTGCTACAGCCTCGTACCTCGATGACCTCCCTAGAGAAAGTGTCCTATACCTACACGTTCCACTAGTGCGTAGATGCAACGATTGTAGACGTCATCACAAATGGGCAGGACTCGTTACTGCAAGTGGATCATATTCATGAGTTTGACCAGAGGTAAGTAATTGGAAAAAGTCACTGGTTGGCGGAACGTCTCAACATGTTTTATTCATCACCCAGGTAAATATATACTGCTTGACGAACATAGGTGTAGTGAGACTAGCCAAGTAATAGTAACTTCAGACCTACTAGCGGGAAACCTTCAAACTTTTTTGTGGCTACTGCACCCACAGTGGAATTCTTGACGATATCTTCCTCGTCTTACTGAAAAGTCTTCCCTCTCAGGCTGACAGATTTCATTACTAGATGAAGTCATTCTGTATGAAGTATTATATGAAAACCATCTGCATGATAGATGTCAGTACACTCATTATTTATTCTTCGTGTAATGTCGAGTGAAGCATATACTGCCCGAGTGGGTTATACCACTGTCGTAAGCCATGATACAGAGTTAACATATATAACAATTATAAGATATATAAAAAATATCTAGTTAAACCGAAACTAATTGCTACTTTATATTGTGGATTAGTCTAGTAAAAATGTGGTGTATCAAATATATGATCAGAAGGACTGTGAAGCCAGTGTTGCACAGCTTGATGCTAGTACCAACAGCCGGAATGAACAGGCCATCAACCATGAAGCCTGGTCTGGGACAGGGCCGAAGAAAGGGGGGGATAAACTCGGAATCAGCAACATAAGGGAAACTCCTTTAGTTGTCAGAGGATCGGTCCCGGAACAGAATAAATTGCTCTCAGTATATATATTTTAAACGAAATGAAAAATAGTATCCCCTAGAAATTTTTTTTTGTGAGAGAGATGTACATCAACAATACTTGGCTTCCTGCCTGGAATTATTTCACCTCATTGGTTCTCAGTTTATTTTAACTTGTGGAACGTCAATACAAGACATTGTTTCTCCCTTCCACCCCTCCTTCCTTCCCTCCCCACTTTCCTTCCTGCCCCTCCCTCCTTCCTTCCCTCCCACCCCTCCTTTCACAACCCAATTAGATCTATATGTATTTACTTCTAGACATTTAGTAACAATCTAATATCAAGTACAGTGTTAGTCTCAATAATCTACCAAGCTCCTTCATAAGAACCTTGGTAGATGTAGGACAGCCAAGAATAATTCTAAGGGCTACATTTTGCATTAGCTGCTTAGCAAATATCAACATGGGCGCAGCATAATCAATTAAGGATCTAATATAGGCTATGTACATCATTCTCACTATTCTCACATTAGCACTATAGTTGGGGTTGTAGCCAGCAACAGCTTTCAGAGCATTTAGCCTGTCTTTACATTTCTTATTTAGATTGTGGTATGGTGGATTTATTGAAGGGTACGTCCACACCAAAGTATCTGTAAAATTTAACATAGTTAATATTTTCACCCTGCAAACAGATGGGTGGGAGAGGTCGTTTACTTGTCAATATCTTTGTTTTTAGATGATATGAGACCTAGTCAGTTACAAATTACTTGAACATTGTTAAGATATGCCCTGTTGTATGGATTATATGTCATAAGCATAGCTTATAGCTTTATGTTTTGGTGAGGCAGGTAGAGCATTTAGGAGAGCATTAATCATGACATTATACAGCATTGGACTGAGAACTCCTCCATGCAGTGTACTTACTAAGGATATTTCTTTACACTTGCTTCTACAGCCTTGGTAGAGAACAGATGATTCTTTCTTTGACAGATAAACTATCATCAAGCTGAATAGGTTACCACCAATTTTCATTTTGACTTATTTCATGTAGTATAAAGTTCTATTTGCGATATAAAATGCATATTTCTTAATAAGAAATGTGGTAAGACTAGAGGAAGTGAGAAAGGTGAAAATACAATTCTGCACACGTTTTCCTTTCATGAAACCGTGAAGTTGAGGGGAAAGTTTGTCTGATTCTATGGTATAGTTTATCAGGTAACGTTCTTTCAAGTGTTTAACGAAGACAGCTAGTTAAAATTAGTCGAAATGTATCAGAATGTTGCGGTTTAGAGATAGGCACAATGAGGCTGTTGGTCCAGGAAGTAGAAAGAACACCCTCGACGTAACTGAGATTATACAGTGCTAGACAATAGAGGTCTGAGAATGTAAGTTATACCATCCTGTCCAGGAATGGTTGATCCACCTTTATTTGATAAGAACATAAGAAAGAAGAAACACTGCTGCAGGCATACTGACCTATGCGAAGCAGGTCCATTCCCCCCCCCCCCCGGATTAGCCCAATGACCCACCTAGTCAGGTCACTACCACTTAAGGAAGGAGCAAGGCATCAGACCTAGTAGCACAAGCTAGTTGGGTCCAACTCACCCACCCACACCCACTCATGTATTTATCTAACCTATTTTTAAAACTACACAACGCAGGTCTGCTAGTGTACCTTACTTATAATTAGTAATTCCAGTGAGTAAAACATTACTGTTGAAATACGAAGAGGTGCAAAATCTCGAGGAAATACGAAATATCGTAGAAATACGATAAACAGTGTATAGTTGTTAGTACTTATTGTGATTGAGTGACGTATACAGTGTGTGGTAAACCTGTAGTTAGTAGCGGTCGCTATATACACAACGAAAATCATTATTCCTTCAGTAATCTCCATATATTGAAGCCATCGGCGCCAATCACGCAACTTATACTTTCTGTATCAAACTGAACATATATTACTCTATTTTTTTTCCAGTAGTCCTTTTCATGAGCTAGTCCAATATCAGCTAGTGAGCTAATCCGGATCTGCCCGGATTCATCCAACGGCCGGACTCAAACGGATTCGTTGATAACAATGTATCCTCTGACTGGTCTCACTAACTGTCGGGGCTCTGCGCGCCCTATCAAACACTCAAACAAGAACTACAACAAATAGTTACAATACAGATAAGACAGACCTACTGTTAAGGTGCTTGTTAGGAAAAAGATATATAGTGATCCACTAACTAGATTCTTCCAGTTTCGCTGAATTCGGGAGGATTCAAACGGATTTCGCTGGATTCAGGCAGATTCAAACGCTTTTTTTGGAAATAAAGCCGGATTCGGGCAGATTCAAACGGTTTTGTTGGAAATAAAGCCAAATCGAAAGAACTGTTAAAAAATTAAATGCATCGGGGAATTATAGACTAGCTAAGAGAGTTGTCCAGTATTGTAAGAGGACCTCTACCATGAAGATCTGTGTGTCTGCAGAACGGGTAAAGGACGAAGAGAGGCCTGGATTGCTTGCCATCCGTTGCGCTCAGTGGTTCCAGAGTATATGCAGGGATTTTAAACTAGTGATCACACTTGACATAAACTCAGAGAGATGTTTTTGAGTTTGCCCAAACGAGATAAACCTGTATGAGGAAATGACATCTATATTGAAAGACAAGAACACCAATAAAACATCGTTCTTGAAAGACATATCAACATGGTGTGACAGCTGAAAAAAAAAAGATGGGTGGTATGGACAGGGCTGTCTTGGACAGTGCCCCTGAGGGGGCTAGTGCTGTCCTGGAGGACAGTGCTGAGGGTGCTAGTGTTGTCCTGGAGGAAAGTGCTCCAGAGGTCCTAGTGATGTATTAGAAGACAGTGCTCGTGAGGGTACTAGTGTAGTCCTGGAGAACAGTGAAGACAACGTTATTCAGTCTACAGAGGTTCAAAATAGAGATACTGCTGGAGATGGATCAAAATGGGATGATGCCTCAGGGAATAGTGTCGACACACTACCAGCAAAACCTGGTGGAAGCACTGATGTTCATACAGAGGTAAAAGATATTAAGGAAACAGGAAAAGTAAATGCACCACCAGTGAACGCAGCTACAATAAATCCTAGCAAACAGAAGTATAATCTATGTAAATACTATTCCTTGGGTATCTGCAGGCACGGTATATCTGGTAAAACAGGTGGGACATGCACCTTCGACCATCCCAAAAAATGCCGCACCCACATGGCAACAAGAGAGTGAAACTTCCTTTCTTGCAACTTATTTCACCCAGAAATGTGTCACTCATCAATCCATAAAAGAAAATGCTACAATGCATACTTCCAGGCACATCATCTAAAGGGGACTAGAAGACAGACCAGCCAGACTATGGGAAACAAAAGAGAGGAACCTCAACCTCTCCAGGGACAGAGGTTTTTTTTTAGGGCCAGGAGGGCAAAAGACTGGCAAGAAATGACAGTAGTCCTACACCACCTGAAAACACTTCTGGAGCAGAGGCACAGACATTGGCCTCTACCCCAGAACAACAGATATTAGAGCCAGCAAATAAAACCCCCTAAATTCCACCAATACAACATTTGTCTTTGCAAACACACAGGGTCTAAAGCCGTCAAAAAACAAGAAAATTCCTTACATTAAGGGACTGCTCACGGAGTCAAATGAAATGTTTGCAGCTTTTGTAGATGAATGGTTCAGAGAACCGACATGTTGATAAATTAGACACATGTGCAACTCTTGGGTATCTTTATTGAGGAAACGTTTCGCCACACTGGCTTCATGATGAAGCCACTGTGTGGCGAAACGTTTCCTCAATAAAGATACCCAAGAGTTGCACATGTGTCTAATTTATCAACAATGTTTGCAGCATTCACAGAGACCCACATAAAGGATCATTATGTCAACGAAATGTGGATCCCAGGTTATAACCTATTCCGATGCGACAGACTAAACAGACAACAAGTGGGGGGGGGGGGTCGGCCTGTACGTCACAGAGTCGCTCATTTTCACAGAATTACTGAACACCTCAAATGATGTAGTTGAAGTTTTGGCGGTAAAGATCAAAAACCAAAGCCTTGTCATTGTGGTAGTATACAAGCCTCCAGATGCAACTTCCCAGCAGTTCCAGGAGCAGCTTGAGAAAATTGACCACTGTCTGGAAAATCTCCCAACTCCTGCCCCAAACATCTTACTACTTGGAGATTTCAACTTGCGACACCTAAAATGGAGGAATATAGCAAACAGTGTTTTAGCCGAGATCACCCCAGGAGACAGCTCAGATGAAAATTCACACACACACGAACTATTAAATCTCTGCAACAAATTCATATTAAACCAGCAAATAGTAGAGCCTACAAGACTAGAAAATACGCTGGACCTCATCTTCACTAACAATGATGATCTGATACGTAATATAACTGTATCAAAGACAATTCACTCAGATCACAACATAAGAGGTACAGACATGTATGCACAGGGCTCCGGACCAGCCAAATGTAAGCAGTCATGAAAGTCTCTTCATGAAATTCAATTTCAATTACAAAAACATACAATGGGATCAAGTAAACCATGTCCTAAATGAAACAAGCTGGGAAGATATCCTAAATAACACGGACCCGAACATCTTCCTTGAAAAAATGAATTCTGTGGTTCTTGAGATCTGCTCAAGACACATTCCATTAAGAAAAAGAAAGAGAAGATGTAAACTAGAAAGGGAGAGGCATTCCCTATAAAGATGAAGGCGAAGAGTCACAGAGCTGCTGAGTGGGGTCAATATATCTGAAATACGAAGGGAAGCTCTAGTCAATGAAATTGCAAATATCGAATTTAAGCTGAAGGAATCTTATAGGAGACGATGAATCACAGGAAGAACTAAAAGCCATAAAGGAAATTGAAAAAACTCAAAATACTTCTTCTCTTATGCCAGATCTAAGGGAAATACAACATCCAGTATTGAGCCCCTGCTTAGGCGGGATGGGACGTACACAGATGACAGCCAAGAAATGAGTGAGATACTAAAAGTCCCAATATAACTCAGTGTTTAGCGATCCACTGCCCACTCTAAGGGTCGACAATCCAAATGAATTCTTTACGAACGAAACCCAAAATTTGATCATCCCAAAACTCTCGGATATTCTGACTCCACAAGACTTTGAAGAGGCAATTAATGACATGCCCATGCACTCTGCCCCAGGCCCAGACTCGTGGAACTCCATGCTCATCAAGAACTGCAAGAAGTCTCTATCGCTTGCCTTCAGCATTTTATGGAGAGGGAGCATGGACACAGGGGTCATCCCCCACTAAAAACGACAGACATAGCCCCACTCCAGAAAGGTGGCAGTAAAGCAATTGCAAGGAACTACAGACCGATAGCACTAACATCCCATATCAAAAAAATCTTTAGAGAGGGTTCTAAGAAGCAAGATCGCCAATCACCGAGATATCCATCAGTTACACAACCCAGGGCAACACGGGTTTAGAACAAGTCGCTCCTGCCTGTCCCAGCTACTGGACCACTATGACAAGGTCCTGGATGCTGTAGAGGTTAAACAAAATACAGATGTAGTATACACAGACTTTGCAAAAGCTTTCGACAAGTGTGACCATGGTGTAATAGCACACAAAATGCGGGATAAAGGAATAACGAGAAAAGTTGGTTGATGGATCTACAACTTCCTAACAAATAGAACACAAAGAGTAATAGTAAACAGAGTAAAGTCCCAGGCAGCCATGGTAAAAAGCTCTGCTCCACAAGGCACAATACTCGCTCCCATTCTATTCCTCATCCTCGTTTCTGACATAGACAGAGATTTAAGCCATAGCTCCGTGTCTTCCTTTGCAGATGACACCCGGATTACCATGGCAGTGACCTCCATCGAAGACACCGCGAGAATCCAAGCGGACATCAACCAATCTTCGAATGGGCCACTCAAAACAATATGAAGTTCAACGAGGAGAAATTTCATCTACTCAGATATGGAAAACTTGAAGAAATTAAAAATGTGTCAGGGTATACCACAAATTCTAACCATACAATAGAGCGGAAAA